CCCATGGTAGCTCGGGGATACAGGAGCTTATGCCAGAGTGAGGCAGGGACATACAGTGGGGTGCAGTCCTTGCTCGGCCGAGCCTGCAGTTTGAGCCGATGGGGTATTTCTGTGGGTACTCAGTGGCACGAGCGTGGGAGGGAGGGCAGGGGCAGGGACTGCTTTTGGCTGGCACATGCCATGGGAGCCACAGCTCTGGTCAGCACAGCAGCACTGGGCCATGGTGACGATGCCAAGAGGCACAAGGGGTGATGTTATCTAGCAGTCAGCCCAGCACTGAATGATGCAGCAGAGGTGTGACATTTCTCCGCTTAGCGGTACAAAAAGAACAAAACTCATCCATCTTACAGTAGGAGGGCCATTGTCCCCTCTATTTAATTTTCCTACACTAAATAGTGAATTTTGGTGGAAGCAGTGCTGCACCTGCTTTCCCCCTCCTCTGTGTCCAAGCACACATGCTGACACCCAGTGGCCACGGAATTTCTAGCGCCTGTACGAGATGGAAAACCAGCAGAGATGCCTCAACTGTCAGATACAACTGCTTCTTTTTCATTTCCTCAAGTGCAACAGGAGTAAAGAACTCCTGAGACATGCCAGCTTTGCTTTATGTCTTTCAGCCGTTGTCAGGTTATAGTGGTTGAAACACTTCAAAATCTTGTATTCAGAAGCCAGTCAGAAAAATGTTAAAAATACGAGGATGGATAGTGAGGAAACAGAAGGTAAACTGGGTTTCAAATTATCCCCTTGTTGGCTTGAACATAGACCTCAGTAAGAGAAGAAGGCTCATTTTTTTCACTTCAGAGACCTTGACATTTTCCTTCCCTATTTTGCTACTTCCCAAAAGCAGTTAGAATATGATAGATGAAAATTGATTTTGCATTTCCCTGCAGCATGCACAGGGTCGTGCTTTCATATGTTTGATAAGTATTGACATTCTCTAGGGAAAAAAACTCTCCAGGAAAAGTTGCTATTTATTCTTCAACAAATGGCTCAAAGACTTTATCAGTCAAAGACAGAAAAAAAGACCCTAAACTCAAGGGTATGCAAAGGAGTTCTTTTTGTGTGATTGGCAAAGACATGCCTCACCAGAGGTGGGGCTGGGATGGTAAAAACACTGGGGAACCCAGACATGAGCTGGGAACAATAAGAGCAGAGTATGCCAAAGGAGGGATTTTGAAAACACTTTACTGAAAATATTAATTATGGACTACAGCAAATGAATTAAACCACTGTAATGCAAATACTGTGTGAAAGAAATGTGTAATTAGTGTAATTCTATAAACATAGGGAAAAAAAAGCATACTACTGAAATTCTAGCAAAGTTCAAGGCATTAGGAAGGACTAGCAGCTGGCCACCTATTAGGATTAAATTTTGCACATGCTGAAGATGTGATGCTGTGAGAAAGTGAGTGGGGCAGGGGCGGGGGCGGTTATCCTGCTGCTGTTGCAGTGAGGACCCTCTGCAGGGGTGAGTTTGGTGAGCGAGAAGCCCTGTGCCGGGCTAAGACCAGCTTTCCTTGCTCCTTACTTACTTTCACTCCTGTAAAGCTGCAGCATAAATATACCATAAGTAGATGTACTTAATTTATCACTCTGTTACTAGGTGGGTTTCTAGGCAGGCTTCAGCCTAACTTTTATATGTTGTGATTACTGAAATAGCTCTGACCATTTTTGGGGTGAGTTCTAACTGCAGAGTTACAACATCTGTTTCTTCGCCACCTCTTACTTGCGCCCATTCTCTTTAATTCTTCTTCCCTTCTTACCTCTTTTTTGGATAAAATTAAACTAGAAACTTTAACCCAGCTTAAACCCATCCAGCAAATCGGGGTTGCCACACCATTTGGCAATGCTCATGCCCGGCGTTCCTCTGTGGTGAAGTGAGATGATTGCATCAGATGTACCCAGGGCAGCAGGGTGGGCTCTAGCTGCATGCCTCGCTTTTTCCCTGGTGGAGGTTCACAATGCACTCACGTGTTTTTAGTAGACATTTCAACTGTTTAAGAGGCTGGCAGAACATCAGAGGCGTACCAGGAGTTATTTCCAGTAATGGCAAATCTCAGTGGGACTCTTTCCAATAGTTTTCTTTAGTGTTTTTTCTGGTTTTAACCATTATTGTTAGTGCAGTAACTGCTGCCCTGATGGCAGTTCTGAAAACCCATAGCCCAAATGCTACCCAGTTCTGGATGTGCCAAAGTCCTCTAGTTCCTGAAAGTACCCAAAAACCCTAGAACAAGCTTGGCTGAGGGTCTCTGCTCATCCTGGTCTTGCAGAGCACGAGATCCAGGGTTGGTCCTCCCAGAGATTGCCCTGCTCTTGATGGCCCATCACTCTGCAGCCCAGCCTCCAGAGCAAGTCAGAGCAAAATATTCACGTTGTACCAGCCAGGCGCAGCCGTGGTGTAGGGCTGTGCCCCTTCTCACTGCAAAAATCCTGCTGGAGACCAGAGAGGGAAGGAAGGGGACTCTGCAGCTGATGGGAGGGCACCAAGCAAAGAGCTGCTGTCTCCCATCGCACAGAGGAGGAAATGCTGCCCTGACCCTCCTGCATCTGGCCTGTTGCATGAACCATGCATTCCCTTGAGTTGCTCTGATGAGCATGTTTTGGAGATGTCTGCGGGCCAGGTCTCCCAGAGCTGGGGCTGGGGGCTGCTTCTGGGCCAAGTCAGCTTTATTACTGCTTCCTTCCTTCTCTCGTGATTCCTTTCACCTTCTCTATTAGATCAGTCAGTGCATGGCAAGTCCAGCTCCCTTCTCCAATTCTAATGTGCTGCATTCATCAAGGTAAAACATGGTTTTTCAATGTCCATTGCATGCTCACAGGTATTTTTAAACTTAAAGCCAACCCATGCTGGCCGGCCAGAAGCCCCAGGAGACAGAAGAGGCAGAGATTGTGTCTCATCAAAATAACAACAGCCAGGAAATTTCATTTCTGCTCCAGTCTGTGCATAGACCATTTTTTCCTGGTGCTTTCCTCCATTGGTTGCTCCCCAAATAACATTGGGTTGTTGCCCATTTAGCAGTGGAAGCAGCTGATAGTGATTGAATAATTTTGCAGTTGGATGTGTAAGACAGCACTTGCTGTGTTGTTTTGTGCCTGATTGGATTAGCATGGCTATTTACATAGCTGATTGACGCAAACTTGATTTTCTCTCTGAGCTGCCACTGTTCACTAGAAATTCCCATTTGTGAATTAAAGCTCCTGCAAGAGAACATGTTTTCTGGGTTGTTCGGATGAGATGAAAGCACACTAAACTCTGGGTTTCAGTCGGTTAGTTCTTTGACGAAAAAAAAAAACCTAGAATGGGCTTGGAAGATAGTGTTTCATCTAGTACTGGTTTGTTGGGGTTTTTTTAAATCATCTTCATAGGGAACTGTTGCTTACAAATCAGCCAGCAATTTCTTTAGCTGAATACATGGTATTGAGAGACATCTTGGATACTTCATTGAATTCTGATACCAGTGCCCGCTTCTTAGGGAAGTTCCCACACTGCCTTTGCCAGAGTAACTCCCACTGCCTCTCTGAAGCATCTGCCCTTTGCAGTAGCTGGGATCATGCCTTCGTACAGGAAAAGTTTCTCTCAAGGCCTCCCCACTTCAGCTTTGCAACAGATAAGGCATTATCAGTTAATGAAATAAATAGCTCAAGGAGCTCACGTTCAGCATTTAGATGCTCTCAGCAGGCTGAGTATTTGGGGACTAGGAAGATGTAGTGAGAGCGTGGTGGGGTACAGTGGCTAGATGCAGGTGTTTGTACCTAGCATGTGTGTGAGGTACTGCCCTTCAGTGTGTGTCCTGTTGACAGATTTCTCAAGTCCTTAAAAAAAACCAAAACACAACAAACCCACAGAGCAATGTGTTACCTTTATTCATGGCAGTTTCCACTGCCTCCTTTTTCTCCCTTTTCCTGTTATCGGAAACAGCTTGCTCCAGAGTCAGTTTAAAACTCCTCCAATGTTTTCCTGGATCCTTTGAGGACTTGAATTGCAACAACCAGCCTTGCAAATGGCAGCAGGTAGGGAAGACCCACGTGGGCTATAGAAAGCTCAGGGCTTCTCAGCTGTCCTTGGGATGATGTTCTAAGAGCAATCCATCAAACACAAGTGGTGCAGCAGTCACAAGCAGAGTTAGCATCCCACTGATGCATTGCTGAAGATCTGAAATGGGCACAGACTGTTATTTCCAGCACTGAGAGACAGCTAGGGACACCCTACAGCATCCCCGTCACACATTGCTGCATCCCAGTGGCAATGCAGGAAGCATTTGCTTTCCACAATTTTCTTGCTAGCATCTACACTTTGTTCAAATTTTACAAACCAAAACATTTGAAAGGCAGATACAAAACAAAGATGAAGGTATGTGTGTCTCAGACTCCATGCATTCAACTAGCAAAGAGGTGTTAGTTCACCTCTGCAGACAGCACGGAAGTATTTCTATAGCCCATTCTCCTTCATCAGTGATGCCTTAAAAGGCATATTAGAAAAGCCACCCACTTGCTTACACTATATGACCACAAAGAAAAGATAACAGCACCAATAATTTGTATATGGGCAAATTCATCCACTGCGTCTGCTTTCCCCACGTGCTGTCATGGACGTGAATGCAAACAACCGGGATGGGAGTGCAAAGAGAATGAGGCCTTAGCCCATAAAAATGGCACTTCTTCAAAGCAATCAGTACAACTGCCTGCTGCCTGAGTGGTTTGGGGCAAGATAATGGCATTATTTATGCTGCTCTGCGTGCAAGTAACTTTGCTGCATTTAACAGAAGCAGCCTGGGCTCGTATGAGCAGAATTTGGGTCTCTGCTGCAAGTTTATGAGTTGTTGTGAGGTATTTCATATCAGAAACAGCCCCACTTACAAGGTTGTTTCCTGAAAATAAACTGTCATTTGGTGTCCAATCTTAGACCATCTATTAATATTTGGCTCTTAGTATTTCATATGTAGTTTTATTTATAACCGTAGTCTGAGACACCCACATTGCAGGATAGGCTGCTTTGGTGCTTACCTTTTCTTGCACTGGCCGATCAACATAAATATTATGAGACTACTTGACAAACTCAGAATGACTGGAATGATGATAAATAGCTGCTTGTCCTCTTTTCTGGGCACTACAAAGATAAATGACAGCAAATAAGAAAATGCTAGGTTCCAGAACAGGTCCTATTATGTCTTACAAATCTTGGGCTCAGTTGCACACTGAGTGTGTCCGGGTTTGTTATCCTACATTCATTCATTCATTTATTTATTTATTTCAGGTATATGTTACTGTATAGGGTAACATACTTCTTCAGGGTAACGTATATCCTGAATATATATGTAGCTACCTCCCTGTGCCTCTTCCCTGCCTTCTGCATCTTGCAGCAGAGCCAGTGCAGACAGGGACAGTCCTGCAGAGCCTTCAGAGCGCAAAGGAGCTGATCCGTGGTGCGGGGCCGCCAGAGAGACTCCGAGAGACCACCATACCATCTCTCTTGCAAAGCGATCAACAGAGAGCCTCTGAGAACCACATGCCCTCTCTTGCAAAACAGTCACTCCTCCATCACAACTGTCCCTGTGCAGTGGGAAAGGTGCTAATGCAGAAGTATTAATATTTTGGGGCTTGCCTGCTAAGCACACTGGAGATGCAAAGCTGTAGGAATGGCTTTGCTGGAGTAGGTTGAGGGTGTAACTAAACCAGGATCCCACCTCCAGTGCCGGGCACCAGTAGATGCCCATGGCAGCCATCAGCACTTGGTCCCAAACAGGCTTTATAAAGGATGTAAAAGAAATGCTGGTTACTTGGAGTTCCATACCAGAGAAACACTCCTGCGTCCATTCACTCCAAAAGCCCTGGTCAGCACAGAAAATATTTGTTCTTCCCCTGACACGAACACATGAAATGTGGCTTTGATTTGCTCTGGAAATTGTTAAAGTGGTCTCCATTTGGGTTGACACAGACTGAGGAACAAAACAGAGAGAACAAACGTCAAGGAATTATGTGCCACCACCAGCAGCTCTCTGGCATGGACTGATGTTTCTGAATATACTCTTCAGGCTCTGCAAACCCTTGGATTACGTTTTGGGAGTTTTAAATTATTTCCTAATAGTTTTGGATCAGCTAATGCCAATAAGATTATTATGGAGCTGAAGCTACTGAAAATACGTATGTACATGTATGTGGCCATTTATGCCTGTTAATTTATAGAATCTTTCATTAAATTAGCTAAGAAGACTCATGCAGAATATGGCAATTAAAGAAAAAATGTCCTTCAGATGTCCCCTATGATTAATTAGTTGTTGCCATTTTTGCTATCAAAACTACACCTGGATAATGCACAAGGAAAAAGTACCATGCATAAAAGACGTGCTGTGTCCCAGGCCACTTCTTTGGAGAAACTAGACTTATAGTTTCATTGAGCCAAGATGTGCCACCCTATTCCAGAAAACAAACCACGACACCCTTTGACTTTCCGTGATGACCGCTTTCTGAGATAACAGGCAGGAGGCCTGAGAAAGCGATCGCTCAGAGACTCGCACTGGGATCTGTTACTACTAAAGCAAATGCTGCGGCTGGAGGTCAGGGCGTGAAGTAGAACATGTGCAATGAATGGAGCATCCGGCCAGCCTTCTCCACCAGCAGCACCAGCTAACATCTCTGCGCACTCCATGCACAGGGTAGCTAACATGCCATCCGCACCTTGGTGCAAACCACAATTTTCTGGCATGCCTCCCTTCTCCTGGCCATCAGGCAGGGCTCCTCTACCCCTTCCCCTCCATGGTGCGTGTCGTCCTTACCGCCCAGGCAGCCTTGGCTTCCCCCTGATCTTCTGCCAGCTGAACCTCAAACTCCAGGCACTGGGATGGCGTTTCACCGCCTGGCGGGCTCCATGCCACGTGGAGCTCCTCAGATGCAGACATGGAAACCACCAGCTGCTTTGGGGGCGAGGGCTTTGCTGGGAGAGGGAGAGGAACAAAAAGGAAGAAGGTCAAGAGGTGCAATCAAACAGCTCCTGGTGGCAAAGGCTTCAGTTAATCACTGCCAACCTCTGCCCCTTTTCCCTGTTGATGGGATTTCTAAGCTCCTATTGCTATCAGCCACCAAGCTGCAGGAGCAGGATGTCACTGAGGCCAGAGGGTGGGTTGTTTATTTCAACTTGACAACATGGGCTGGGCTATGTTTATTTCAACTTGACAACATGGGCTGGGCTATGTCCTTGCTCTGGGCTGTGCTGCAGGGTTTTGAAACGCTGGGGTGTGAGCGTTGTGCTTGGCATGTTCCCCTCGCAATGTAGCTGGCCAGCCCTCCCTAGGATGCAAGGGCAGCCTTGGCCCCCGCAGTGAGACACTGCACCCGTGTTGGCCTGACACTCTCTGCATCCCAGAGGAGGCTCTGGTTTATGTCAGGTGCCCAAAGCCACACATGAAGCACATGGCAGCACTAACTGAATCCAGAAATCCTGCTTATTAGCCCAGTGGTTTACCTGGAGGACTAGCTATTTATCCCCCTGACATTTACATGTGGGTAAATGCATCAGCATGGTAAGTGCCCATAATAAAAAGTACATGTATTGTGTATATATAAATACATAGATACATATATGTGTGTGTGTATATATATATATACACACACACATCATGCTATGCTTTGCTTCTTTTCCCTATCCCTGATGGGTTGGAAATCCACCTTTGCTCTGGCAGACCCCATCACACTTGGCACTCAGTTCTCCCCAGCCCTTAGCTTGGTTTGAATAGCAAAGCCCAAAGATCTCTCCTGTTCTTGAGTGGAGCTGTGATTTCAATTCCAGCAGGAGTAAATGAAGCCACTTCTGTGGTGGTGGTGCTAGAGCCAAAAAAACCCACAACTGCACTGCCACGTGCCCAGGAGACTGTTTATGTCCCAAGTTGTCCTGCTGCTGAGAGCAGCAAATGGAGGCACCCACCGACCCTCCAGGGTGGGCACTGAGTGGTATTGCTCTCCTGCAAACACCACTGGAAACTGAAATCCTGTGTGACACATGTCACAGCCCCTTCTCCAGGGGGAAACCCACCCGGACGCGTTACAGCCACCCATCTACAAGAGCACACATTTTTTTGAGTCCCCTCATGCAAGACATGAGCCTTGGGTGCGTGGTGGTCATGTGGGTCCCCAGAGCCCTGCTGCTTTCCTGCCGGTGTTACCTAGGTTGTGAAGGCGAAGGGTGACATACAATGGCCGTACGTCTGCCGCCGAACCATTGACACAAACGCTCAGGTCCTTATATTCTGCCTGGCTCAGATTTTGCAACATACAACCGATGTTTATACCGTGATCCTGAATATACTCATCACACTGCACTGCATGGTCCAGCCCCTCGTACCTAGAGGTGTATTAGGAGAAGAGAAAGAAAAAAAATAACCAAAGCAATGGCAGTTACTACTTGGGTAAGGCCTTTTTTTTAAGACTGGACCTAAGCCTCAAATATCACCTATATCCTATGCACCCTTTGCCTTTCGGAAGTGATCCAAAGCACAGTGTTATGCATTGGTCACCTGGACTCCTGCTATGGGAAAAGTGTAGGGAGGAGAAAAAACCAAACATGCACACCTACCTCCTGTCTTTGAGGGCCAGTCCCCAAAGCTTAGCTGCTAGCCCCATCCTGGAAATACTAAGTGGTGGTTCATTGTACCTTTCAAGACTCCTGCTTGGTTAGTGCCCTTGAGGCAGGGCTGAATCTGGCCTCTGTACTCTACATCTAATGAAAGTCTCCCTGCACAGCACGTTATGTTTGAGGGAAAAACTTTATGTGGTAGTGCTATAAAAATTAACTCACAGGAATCAAAGGATGCCATGGCTGTGTTCCCACCTGCTCTTGTTATACAATGGGACCCAGAGCCAAATGCCTGGTTTTGTTACAGGCAATTAAAGAAGGCTGGGTTTGTTGGAGTTTTCTGTGGTTTGGGGTTTTTTTTAGGAGCAAATCATGAATTTCCGTGGTTTCCTTCAAGCAGATCTTTGTAGTTAGCAAAATGGTTTTAACTCAGTGTTTCCGCTTTGAAGACTGTTTCCAAGAGCTACATGGAAACTGTTTTTAAAAAGCAGCTATGTTTTTCTACACATAACCCAAAGGCACAAAACCCAATGATTTCCTAACTAGTCATCCTTATCATAGTATCATAGGAATTGAAGCACAAATACAGCATTTACTTTGCCCAAAACCACTAAGTCTAGCTTGGTTTTTCTTGCAGAAGAGAATTGTTAGGCAGCAGTATAAAACCACTGAGAAACATGCATTATTACCGCCTTTTGGCAGCATGTTTGCTTGTATGAAATGTGCTAAGGCTATGAAAATGTATTTGAAGACTAAAACTGTTAGCTGCCAAGAAGCCCTGCTCTTTGTATAAGGTTCACT